TTTTTTTGCCAGCTATCCATTGTATCTATTTTCGATGAGGTAGCATAAATAGCAACAATTTTATTCAAATTGTTTATAAGCGAAAAACGCACGGTTTTTTAATGCACAATTTGAGAATGTTAATGTCAAAAATACGGTGATATGTTTCAATAGGTCGCTTAATTACGTCTTTAAGATTAGAATGACGTTTTCAGAATCATGTTTGGTTGAAAATTAACGCCTGTACAGAGGCTTAAAGTTCATAACTTTTGGAGTCTCCGTTGTAAACAAATTGAATTGTGCGAAAACTATTGCACCTACAGAGCCCACTTTTGGCACACTTTTAAAGTATGACAAAACTCTCAACTTGTCATAGGTTTTATAAAATTTTAACAATAAATGCGATAGTTATAAACAAATTAAAAAATGGGCACTTTTCTTGTTTTTTTGCAATAATTTTTTTGTTTATTAACCGATTTTAATTTAAAAAGTCTCATTTTGTAGATAATTTTACTCCCTACAATTTGTCTGCGAGTCACTTTTCGCTAAAATTGATGGTTTTCCCTGCAATGTGAGAAAAAACTGTTTTCCTCACTTATCTGTTTAAATAGAAAAGTTAATTAATAAAAGTTTTTGACTCACGTGATGAGAAATGTCTTGTATTATGTTCCTTTAAACAATTTTACAATAATATCGCGGATAGGACTTTTTTCGGGTTTCTCTTTTATTGTCGCTATTTCCCTGGTGTACTAAGAAGCCCGCTCTCTTTCAGCTTACAGGAACCAAATGAACCTGGCCACGGCCTACCTGGACGCCTCCGCTGTCTACGGCAACACCGACCAACAGGTGGAGAAGCTCCGCACCTACGACGCCGGCTTGGTGAACGTCTCCGCTTGCTCCTCCTGCCAGACCAACGCCCTCTACTCCGCCATCCTGAGGGAGCACAACAGGGTAGCCGTCAACCTGGCTCACCTCAACAGACACTGGACCGACGACGTTCTGTTCTTTGAAAGCAAAAGGATCGTCACCGCCGAGATACAGCACATTACCTTCAACGAGTACCTGCCCATCGTCTTGGGAGAGGTAAGAAGAGTAAAAATACCTTTGATGATCGGATTACATCCGTTTTTATCTTCCAGGAAGCCATTCTGCACTCCGAGCTTGAACTGAAGACCCATGGACGCTTCTCTAAGTACTCCAGCGCTCGAAGGGCTGGAGTTTACAACGAAGTGGCTATGACAGCACTGCCAGCACTTCTGTCAATGTTACCGAATAGTCTGGTAAGTAGATTCGCTTTAATCAAACCGGATACATTACCAAATCATCTGTTTGTAGATGAACGAGACTGTGGAGTCCTTTGCCGAAATGATAGACATCCTGATAGCAACCCCCGGTCAATCCCCCAGCCTGCACATGATGGTACCCCTTCGCCCCGACTGGGACACCGCCTCTCTCTTCATCCACATGGGTAGGGACCACGGTATCCCTTCCTACCCCCAATACGTACAATACTGCAGCAACAAAACTTACCCCCTACGACTTACCTTCGACGATTTGCGATCCCAAGGGATAAAGAACGAATACATAAAAGCTCTTAAGTACCTGTACTCCACGCCGGAAGACGTAGATCTACTCGTTGGAGCTCTACTAGAAAATCCTGTACCTGGAGCCGTGGTCGGACCCACCTTCAACTGCCTGCTAAAAGAACAGCTTAAACTACTCAAACAGACCGACAGATTTTGGTACGAGAACGACCTGCCTCCTAGTTCCCTCAGTACGGGCCAGCTGAAGGAAATTAAAAAAGTTACGGTGGCCGGTTTGCTTTGCGCCAATACCGACGACCTGAACGAGATACAACCCAAGGCTTTCGTGAAGGAAGACACTTTCCTAAACGCCAGGATATCCTGCGACCAACATCCCCTACCGCAGATGGCCGAGTGGTTAGAAATGGACAGGATGACCGACGTGTCCGAAGAAATGCTTATGGACGCGTTGGCCAAGGCCGAGCACGAGTTGTTGGAAAGGAGGAAGATGGAATATAACGTCTGGAGCACAGGTAACGCGCTTTTTCAGTGAAATTTTTTAAAAGCACCACTTTAATCTTCTATTATTTCAGTTGGAGGAGTGAATCCTAAGTCTCCCCAAGGCATGGCGGCCTCATTCAGCAAAGCGAACAAGAACGCCCTCAAACTAGCGAATTCGTCGCTGCTCTTCGAATTCGCCTCGAACGAAATCGTCAACTCCTTGTTACACCGTAGGAGGAAACGCCAGCTTTTTGAGAACCACGTGGTCGCGTCGATATTCCGCGACGAAATTTCGGACGGCCTCCAACAGGTCGACATCAGTGCTCTGATACCGACCCAAACCTTTGACGTCGATCTTCAGTGCGACGACAACGGTCCGTGCGATCCCAGCGAACCCTTTAGGACCTACACTGGACATTGCAACAATCTGAGACACCCTGGTTATGGAAAGAGTCTTACCACCTTCAACAGGCTGCTTCCCAGTGTCTACGATGACGGTAAGGAAGTTGTTTTTAGTCTCTCAACAGTTCGAAATAAGTAAAATTACCCAAATTGCATATAGGTTGTGGGATTCCATTGTGAGGTAACCGATTACCCAAAAGGATATAATTTAATCATAAATATACAGTAATGTGTATAATTAAAAATATGATTAGGTACAACAGAAATATTGGAAGGAGAATACTGAAATGAAATCAATGATTAATTATATTATAATGAATAATGCACCGTAATTTAAATTTACGTATTGGAGAGATGACCTCTTGAAATTTACATGATAAAATAAATCATAATTATACATTCCAATTGTCTGACAACTAATTCCGCAACAAGAATAAATAAATAGATGAATCAAAGATTCAGATCAACCGCAATCATTAACTAGAAAAAACATATCATTTTTTTATTTATATACATTTATATAATTACATTTACATTTACATCTATTGTATACATGATGAGAACTGCCCGACTTGTTTTCAAGTATGTATGTAAAAATGTAAAGGCCACAATGGCTTCCTTATTACCAACAGTATACTCTACATTGTAGAATGCTAGCTAAAGTGTAAAGTTACAATGACATTGTGAAAACATTTATAATATTAAATTAAAATTGAACTTAGTAAAAGAACAAGTAATATATTACAGTCATTGAAGCTGAAAATCAGCTGTAACCTTCGAATTTTTTTAATGGATTTGCATGAAAATTTAGAATAAGGCTCATCTCAGGCATCAAAAGTGGCATAAGCCCGATTTACGCTTTTTGTTTTTTAGGGGTAAAAACTACTCCTAAGTGAAAAAAATTTAAAAAATTAAGTTTTAAGTATTTTTTTGATAAAAATCTTGTTCAAGCACAAAGATTAAATAATGTTCCATGTTCTCGAACATGTTTTATGATATATTTGATCTTTTCGACCCTTTATTTAACCTTTAAAAACTGCCCCTATGCTAAAAATGATAAAAAATTACTTTTTAAAGATTTGGGATGATTAAATCGTGCAATTATTTAAAATAAAAGTTACCTTATAGCTAATAAAAGAATGCTTCCCTTTCAACCCCTAAAAACCACCCCTGTATTGACAAAAATGATAAAAAATTACTTTTTAAAAGCTTGGAATGCTTTAACGGTGCAATTATTTAAAATAAAAATTCCCGCATTGCTTATGAAAGAATTTGTATCTCATAACAATTTTCAACCCTTATAAATCACACCTGTGCTAAAAAAATTATAAAAAATTACGTTTTAAATCTTGGAATGTTGTAATTGTGCAATAATTTAAAATAAAAATTCCCTTATATTGTTTATGAAAGAATATTTTACTTTTGCCATTTTCAATTCTTATAAACTATTTTTCACTAAAATGGATACTTCAAGCGGTGATATCTCCTTCATTTTTTATGCTATAGGAATAAAAAAATGCAAAATATTTGTTGAAAAAAAGCTACTACATTTTTGTTGTCTATCATTTTTTACGTATCTTTCATAGTTTCAGAATTATTATATAAATAAGGCAATTTTTTATGAATAATGAAAAATATGTTTTCAACTTTTACCGTACATTATTTAAAAAATACGCATTCTAAACTGGTCTAACTTCAGGATCGTATGAAAAACACTAAAACAAAATTAATTGTAAAGGGTCTACGATTAATTTTAATTCTGATGGAAATGGTACAGCGTTTATTGCTCATTTTTCCTTAGAATATATGAGCAACCCATCTGTTTTTGACGATAAATCCTTCAATTTTGCTCTAATTAACGTGCTCATTTTGAAGGTCTTTTTGAGTACTACAAAAAACTCCTGGAGCGTTATACACGTAAAATTAATCCTTTTTCCGTTATTTGACGTTGAATACATCGATTCGAGTATTCCCCCCAAAACAAGGACGTACAACACTTTTTAAAAAACGATTTTCTTTGATAATTTATAAGCTACATTTTTGTTCATTATACTTTTTTAATAAAACGCGTAGTTTTTGAGTTATTCGCGAAAAATACTTTGAAAAAGTGTTTTTTTCACTCAAAATTCCGAGTTTTCAATAGTGAATAACTAAAAAAACTATTGATTTCTCGAAAAAATTCTTCGAATATTTTTTGCTCAAAATTTGATTTTCTATCGATTTCCAGTATTATTTTTGGAAAAAAATTCCACCCCCGAGAAGGGGTGCAAATCCCCAATAGAGTGGAAGCGTCAATCGGCACTATTCACTAATGTTCATTGACCTTTTCTCTAACTATCTGCCAAATTTCAAGTCGATCGGTTCAGTTTAAAAAAATTCGGAGGTGAAAAGCTTCAACGACTGTACTAATATACGAATCTGAGATTTATAGCAAACATCGAAACTTACCTTTATACTAAGCTGTACCCCTGAGAAGTTATAAGCCTTAAAAGTGGGGTTTCAAACTTCGAAAAAAAGTCAATACCTAAGTTATAGTTGAATTTAGAAAAACCAAATTTGGTACACGGTGTGACCAAAGTGTGTACCAAGAGCATTAATCGACAGTAAACAGAGTTAAATTGAAGCATTTTAAAGGGTTGATAAGGGATGATTCACCATTAAAATGTGACAAAATCTTCTGACCCGTTGGAGGAACTTAAAAAATGATTATTTTATAGCAAATTTAATTCTAGAACTTTTCTTACCCTTGTTACTTTAAGTAACAGCTACAATACGTATTATTCGTATTTTTGCTGGAATCGACAAAGTTTTTTCAAAACTAACAAGAGTAACAAAAGTTTTAGAATTCCCCATAAAATAAAGGATATAATATTTTTAGTCCGCCAACGGGATAAAAAATTCTGTCGCATTTTAATGGTGCACCATCCTTTATCAACTCTTTAAAATGCTCAGTTGAACTTTACTTACTGTCGTAGGTAAAGTTACATCAGTCAGTATTTTTACCGTGTTTTTTTCGAAAAACATTGTCATTAAAAACTCAATATTTTCATCAATGTCTAAGTAAACCAACGAGAACTATGTTTTAATTTATCATGGATTTGCTTTATATTCCCTCTGTTAAAATTCATCAATTTCAGGAATTTCCAAACCAAGATCCATAGGAGCCACCGGTCAGATCCTCCCCAACCCCAGGGTGGTATCGCGAGTGATTCACCCCGACATCAGCAACCTGCACGGCAGGTACACCCTGATGACCATGCAGTACGCCCAGTTCCTGGACCACGACCTCACCATGACCCCCATCCACAAGGGCTTCCACGAGTCCATCCCCAACTGCAGGTCCTGCGACAGCCCGAGGACAGTCCATCCGGAATGTAACCCGTTCCCGGTCCCATCGGGAGATCACTACTACCCTGAAATCAACATCACTTCCGGCAAAAGGATGTGTTTCCCCTTCATGAGGTCCCTTCCGGGACAGCAGAAACTGGGACCTAGGGAGCAAGTCAACCAAAACACGGCCTTCTTGGACGCGTCGCAGATCTACGGCGAGAACCACTGCGTGTTACGTCAGCTGAAGGGACAGCTGGGCAAGATGAATTACACGTCGCATCCCGTCAAAGGGAAGGACTTGCTGCCTCAGAGCGACAAGCATCCCGAGTGCAAATCGGCTTCGGGGCAGTGTTTCATAGCGGGTACGTCTGTTTCCTTCCATTCTAAAACGTTCTTCATCTATACACAGCATTCTAGATCTTACAAAATTGCCTCCCTAACTATAGTAGTAGAATATAAAAATAATTTCAGGTGACGGAAGAGCTTCGGAACAGCCTGCCTTGACCGCCATCCACACCATCTTCATGCGCGAGCACAACAGGATCTCCGACGAGCTGCGCAGGCTGAACCCGCACTGGGACGAGGACAAACTCTTCGAGCACTCCAGGAAGATAGTGATAGCCGAGAACCAGCACCTCACCTACAACGAATTCCTTCCCAGAATACTGGGCTGGAACGCCATGAACCTCTACGGCCTGAAGCTGCTGCCTCAGGGCTACTACAAGGACTACAATCCCAGCTGCAACCCCTCCATCTTCAACGAGTTCGCTTGCGCCGCTTTCAGGATCGGTCATTCCCTCCTGAGACCTCACATTCCCAGGTTGAGCCCGGACTACCAGATAATTAACCCGCCCATACTGCTGAGAGACGGTTTCTTCAAGGTGGACATCATGATGAGGGAGAACATGGTCGACGAGATCGCCAGGGGGTTGGTGTCGACGCCCATGGAAACTCTGGATCAGTTCATCACTGGGGAGGTCACCAATCACTTGTTCGAGGACAGGAAAATACCATTCTCAGGTATAGACCTGATCGCTCTGAACGTTCAGAGGGCCAGAGACCACGGGGTGCCGTCTTACAACAATTACAGAGCACTTTGCAACCTGAAGAGGGCCACCAGCTTCGAAGATCTAGCTAGGGAGATACCCACCGAGGTGATCGCGCGGTTGAAGACGCTCTACGCCAGCGTCGACGATATAGATCTCTTCCCCGGAGCTATGAGCGAAAGGCCGTTGCAAGGGGGACTCATAGGACCCACCTTCGGCTGCATCATAGCAATCCAGTTCAGGCAATTGAGGAAATGCGACAGATTCTGGTGAGTTCGTTCAAAAACAAAAATAAACTAAAACTAAAACGTATCACGCTAGGTATGAAAACGAGGATCCAGCGGTGCGCTTCACGGAGCAGCAGCTGGCCGAGGTGCGCAAAACGACCTTGGCCAAGATCATCTGCGACAACTTGGACGTCGTAGGTGACATGCAAAGGGCAGCGTTCGACCTGCCGTCGTCCTTCTTGAACCCCAGGGTGCCCTGTCAGTCGCTGCCTTCAATCAACCTCAACGCTTGGAAGGAATCGGGACAAGGGTGCATCATTGGCAACAGGCAGGTTCAGACAGGGGAGTCCGCTTTCCCTACGCCCTGCACGAGTTGCGTCTGCACAGCGGAAGGGGTGAGTTTGAAAAACTCGATGATTTTTCAGCGGTTATAATAATATACATACAGAGTGAGTCAGTTTTTTGTGGTATTATTTTAACAGTTGATAGAGATTCATTTTTTAATAAGAAAAGTTCCTATAAACGTAGATCGACTCAGGAATAACAATGACTGGAGGGGTGGTTCCCACTCCAGGATCATAGACACATCTATGTCGGAAACAACTTTTGGGATGGTATCCGACAAGATGGTTCCAAGGATTCAATTCCACAAGCCATTTGAGACTCGAATAGAGGATCAGAGCAAGTGGGAGGAAAGGTTTAATACCCTGGAAAGGTGGAGCCTAGTATGGTCTACAGATGGCTCCAAAATGACCAGAGGGACGGGTGCAGGAATATATGGACTCAGACCCAGATGTAGTGAAAGCTACAGTCTGGGGGAGTTCCCCACTGTATTCCAAGAGAAATCTTCGCGATAATGGCGTGTCTGGCAGATAATGTACGTAGAGGTTATAGACGTAAACTCATATATATATATATATATATATATTCTCTGACAGTCAAGTTGCAATTAAAGCTTTAGCCGCACACAAGGTAAGTTCAAAACTGGTGTGGGATTGTTTACAAATGCTGACTGAACTGGCCACCAACAATACAGTCAGACTGTGTTGGGTGCCAGGGCACAAAGGCATTTGTGGAAATGAGAAAGCGGATGAACTTTCTAGGAAGGGATCCGAGACAGAGTTCATTGGCCCGGAGCCCTTCTGTGGCACATCTCCCAGTATGGTCAGGCGGGCTCTGGGCAAATGGACTGAGACAGAACACAGGAAATACTGGAGTTCAAGGCCAGGACATAGCTATTCTAAGAAGCTTATGGAGTATCCTTCGAAGGGAAGAGCGAGTGAGCAACTGAGCTTGAACAGAATCCGGCTCAGGAGAGTGACAGGACTCATAACGGGACACTGTCACATAAACATAAACTAAAGCTTGTAGACAGTCCGGTCTGCCGAGGATGTGAATCGGCGGATGAAACTTCTCTGCATATCCTGGGCGAATGCCCGGGATTTGCACGTAGCAGAATGGCGCTCCTTGGGAAACCCTATTTGGAACCCAAGGAACTGAGAAAAGTGTCAGCAAGGAAGCTTTTGGACTTTGTAAAAAGGACAAATCTACTTGCTGAATAGGACTAGTAGTGGGATGCACAATAGGCCTAATTAGGCCGCAGTGTTATGGGACTATTAAAGGACCAACCACTAGATGAAGATGAAGGTCTTAGAACGCTTCGTTTGTGAGATAAAGGGTGCTGAAGAAAAACTTTTTTTAAGATTTTTTTTTTTTAAAGACCAACAGATATTAAACTGAAATTTCGCATGAAAAAACAAACACAGAACTTAAAAAAAGAACTACTTGACACACACGTTACACAATGTTCGCGTTCTTATGTCAACTTTATGACATTTAATCGTATTTGATGATTTTCAGGGTACATCATATTTTTCTTATTACAAATGTATTACCAATATCGTTGGAACAGTTTCATGCCAAATGAATTTAACCAAAAACCGTTCATTTTATAAAAAATTGAAAGAGAGCTGTTTTGTTCAGAATTGATTAAAAAATTTAGAAACGATGTTATTTTCCAGAAAAATCCACGGGCGTACGAATTATTTTTTCAAATGGGGCTGTAACCCACCCCAGGCACGTCACTGGTGTGTGAAATGGATAACAGATATCTTTGTTTTATTCACCATAACTAATGTGTTATTAATACCAAATTTCAGTTCAATATATGCTGGTCTTTTAGAGATATTAAGAAAAATTCTTAAAAAAAGTTTGTTTTCAACACCCTATATCTCACAAACGAAGCGTTCTAAGACCTACGTTTATAGGAACTTTTCTTATTTAAAAATTATTCTCTATCAACTGTTAAAATCCTACTACAAAAAACTGACTCACCCTGTATACTCCAGTGACAAAATTATTAGTAGACATTACATTGCATGTTACGGTTTTTTTCACTTTTTTTACTGTCTACGAAAATCTAGACGACGTATCGGAAAATTAGTCATTTTATTTTGTAGGCAATTAAATTATCTACAATTTAAGGTATCCATAGTCATATTTCACCAATTTGTTAACTGTAATATAAAGGTTGAACGCGGAAATATTAGTTTTCGAAAACTACGCATTATTATTGCAAAAAGCGATGGCTGTTTATGAAATTTTTGGAAAAGACGGTCAATCCAATGACCAACATGTATACCAAAGACCGATTCAATTGACCATGAAATTTTTGCTCCACGTATTTGTTAATTAATTTCCTTCGTTTTTCTTGCACCTAATTGTTTAATTACTAAACGTTAATTTTAGAAGTTAATATCGTAAATATAAGTTCTAATTGGTCCAAAAAAACGTATCGAAAATAAAAAAATCTCAAAAAGTTGAAATTAAGTAGCCCTGTACAACGAACAAAGTACGACGTGCAAATCAGCGTTATAAGCAAATTGTCCCATTCAGGCCAAAACCGCTCGGGAATTCGCTCTTTTTGCATTAATAGTCCAGGTGGTAGATCATTCGAGGCTTTTGTATTTGAAGCGATCTATTTTATTGTACAGAAAAAACCTAATCTACTTTTTTTAGGCTATATTTTGTTCTTTTTTCTGTAAAAGATCTATTCACGGGTTGAATTTTGTAAATCTCGAATACCCTCGTATACCAAATTTGGCGCGAATGTGTTATTTTTTGAAAATTTAGTCGGCCGCCATCTTGAATTTTGCAAAATCGACCTCGAGTTCGTGATCAGCGACACCGAAAACCTCCTTATACCAAATTTGATGAGAATCTGTTATTTTTTGAAAATTTGGTCGGCCATCTTGGATCCGCCATCTTGAATTTTGCAAAATTCACCTCGGATCCGTGATCAGCGACCACGAAATCCCTCGTTTACCAAAATTGGCGCGAATTTGTTATTTTTTGAAAATTCGTGATATTTGACCTTAATTGACCCGTTTTTTTGAGGTTAGAAAAATAACCATCAATTCTGACCGCTGATTCACGTTCGGCGGGGTCTTAACTATATAAATGAACATTTGAATATAGAAAGACATTTTTTTTCTAGTTTTCCTAGCACTTTTTCGTAAATTTTTGCTATTTTTGATCTGTTTTTTGAGGTTAGGAAATTCCTGTGATGTGATAGCTCAATTCTGACACCGGATTTGTGATCAGGAGGCAAAAATACTACTGATGTCGCATGAAAAGTACAGACTACTTTTCTTTTTTTTGTGTGGCTGTGTTATTTATAAAGTAAAATATTGAAAAATTTAAAAAAATTCTAAATGGTTATAAAAGTGTAAAAATAGGTAATTTTGGTATATTGATCATTGTTTATTATGACAACAAGTATCACCAAAAAAATTGTGTGCCCTTTCTAAACCTTAATTTAAACCCACGGTACGCGATAACTTTTTGAAATTTTCTTAATTAACAATTTTGTCAATCGAAAACCACGCGACCGATCGTAACAAAATTTTTAGGGTAGAATTGACATATGTTTTATTATTTATTCACAAAGACGCAATTTTCGAAAACTGATATTTCCGGGTTGAACCTTTATTTTACAATTAACAAATTAGTGCAAAATGACTAGGTACCTTAAATTGTAGGTAATTTAATTGCCTACAACATAAAATAACTAATATTCCGAAAAAAGTGAAAAAACAAGCAAATTTGCCATTTATTTGTAGTTTGCCAACTTAGCGTCACTTCTTTCGAGGTACTTTTTTGATATTATCATTCTACGAAGGTACCTTTCCTCGTCATAAAGTACAATAAAATGTCTACTAATATTTTTTTCAAGTTTTGAGGTTTTATAATCTAATTCGACTGAAGTAGTATTGTATCTGATAGGTCAAACTGTTTTCTAATAAAAAAAACAAGTTTTGACACTTCTACAGTTCGTTCCTATAGTTCCTGGCGAGTTTGTTCTGATAATCTTCGCCGTACATGAATCCACAAAAACAAAAATCAAAGAGATTCAAGTCGGGTGACCTAGCAGGCCAATTTACGACTGCACCTTGCTCACATCCGATCCCGTCGCCAACAAACTGTTTATTACGGAACTGCCGCACAGTTCGAGTGTAATGGGGTGGTGCAAAAATTATTTCTTGTTTTAGGGCAACTGCGCCTCGCTGAGAGTCACCGACTGCAGGCAGCTGCTGAGGGAATGGTCGAAGGAAGCCGTCCTGAGAGACGAGGTCTGCACGGCGCAATGCGGCTTCCTGCTCAAGGGCTCCCAGCTGCCCTCCTCCCTGGAGGGCGACTTGAACCCCCCGCCCCTGCGCAACGTGAGAGCAGGGGGCGGCAGACCCCCTAGGTACCCCACCACCACCTTCGAGGCCATCGGGGGCTTCAAATTCCCAGACTTATCGGCATACATCGCGAAATAGTCGGAGCGTCCTTGAAGACTGTCAAAAATATCGGTTAGTTGTTTTGTAATGTGTCCAAAAATTCGGCTGTCTCGCACAAAATGGTCAGAGAAATTGGCCATTGGTGAACATAAAAAGGATATTCATACCAAAAAAGAAAAACAATCCGTTATACGTTGCATACAAGCACCTATATTCTATGGCACAATACAAAGTAGGCCGATTTTGGCGTATGAGCCGAGATGTCAAAATAGAGTCGTTTCCCATTTTTATCTTTATCCAGGGTGATTCGCAAACGGTGACCAAAAATGAAACCTCGCGTTCTTTCGTGAATTTTAAAGCGAGTCTGCTATAAAGTTTTTATCTAGGACGCTTCGTTAAAAAGATACAGGGTGTTAATCTTCAGAAAATATTTTTAATTTTTTTAAATAATTCAAAAACTAGTAAGTGAAACATTTGAAATTGAGCACATGTATGAAAATTGTCCAAAATCTGAGGCCTTTTCCTAAAATTCAGATGCTGCAGTGGCGGAGATACAGGGTATAGGTGGCATAATTTTCTAAATAAAATAGTACACCACTGCTTTACTGTAACATCACCATAATATTTTCGGATTTGTCTTTCAATTCTCTACAAATTACTGCCAGTTCATTTTGTAAGATTTATTCGAAAATCAGGCTTTTTTCGAAAAACATAAGAGAGTAGTAATTTGTAGAAAATTGAAAGATGAATCCGAAAATATAATGATTGTTACCGTAAAGCAGTGGCGTACTATTTTATTTAGAAAAATATGCCACCGATAGGAGCTTCTAAATTTTAGGAAAAAGCCTCAGATTTTAAATACATGTGCCCAATTTCAAATTATTTCACTTACTAGTTTTTAAATTATTTAAAATAATTAAAAATATTTTTTTAAGTTTAACAACCTGTATCTTTTTAACGGGGCCTCCTAAATAAAAAATTTATACGAAAGACCCCTTAAAATTTACCAAAGAATAAGAGGTTCCGTTTTTGGTCGCCGTTTGTGAATCACCCTGTGTACAAAGGGTGTTTCAGAAAAAAGTACCTACCATAAATTCAGGAGTTGATAAAAATAAGCATTAGAGGGAGAGAGAGAACGATAACGTTTCGTAAATCCAATGCACACTAGATCTACACGTATTACTATTGGCAGCTGTTGGCACTGCCATCTGTGCCGCGGATTAAGAGAATAGGCCTCTTGCAGAAAAAAATATTTTAATAGTTTTTGTATCTACACTGAATACTACAAACAATGTGTAAAGGTTTTGTTATATTAATTTATTTTTAAAAAGTTATTAGATATTAAAGTTTTAATCGGTTCGCTTGGCGCGCAAACGCCATGGACTGGGATGTCGATACATTGACGTCATCGGTAAGTAAATGGCGACGGGTTTCGACAGTGCAGCTGACTGCTTTGGTTATTAAATGTGTGGAGTGGTGTCAATAAGCAGTACGATACCTTATATATAAGTACTGTAAATTTGTGAAGTGAAACTTATAATAACTATGGCAAATCCATCTAAACCATATAAATAGTCCAGACAGCATCTATTTCAAAAAGCCCATATTTGGGTAAATCGTATATCCACGGAGATTTTTGGCTTTTTGGCTTTCAAATATCACTAGAAATGAAAATGTTTCTATGCGCATAAAAAAAAACGTGGGCTTAACTTTTGGCGGCGCGATATGTTAAAAAAATTCGAAAAATGTCATATTTTTCTTCCTATTTAATTATGTATCTTTTCAAGAGTTGATTTTAGGCGAAAATGGAAGAGGAAAAAAATGTTTGTAATTAATTTTTTTACAAAATATGACTAGTAAATCGAATGAATCCTGATTATTGTAAAAATCGAAAAAATCGCCAAATATGGGGTTAAAAAAACATTACTTTTTAGGGAATCTTTTTGAGGTCTTTAAATTGGGTTGGGACTTTCATACTTGGATCAAGAAAACTTCATGTCAAGTAGAATCATCACACCAAATTTCGTCAAAATCGGTTAGATAGATTTTGCATAATAATTTTGCAATCCAGATTTTGAAAAATTCAAAATTTTGCACAGCAAAAACCAAGGCCCTTAGATACTTGAAAATTTAATCACATATAGAAGGGCTCTCAAACTTTCAAACGCTTTTTGAAAAATTCAAATCCGTCAATTAGGAGAGCCAGGAAAAATTTTCATTTCTAGTGATATTTGAAAGCCAAAAAGCCAAAAATCTCCGTGGATATACGATTCACCCAAGCCAAAACAGATACCGCCTAGTCTAATACTATTATTACTGGTGCATTGCACCGATGAGTGAAAATGCATCAGTAAAAACGCCAAAATGTATTTTAAAATAAATTTATGTAGATGTAGATATCTATAAATCACACAAAATAAAATGCTTTTCGAAAAAACTCCGCAATCATCATGGAATTCGGTAAATTGTCTGATTGGGCTTTAGCATAACCTTGTTCGGTCATGTTACAAATATTCTTAAGAATTTTAAAAAAACTAAAAACTAATTATGATTATTTAAAACAACAAATTTAGATTCAAAATAATATTTAGGTAGTAAATAATATTATGCTACCCGAGGAAAGCTCACTTGAAATAAACGTCGTAAAAATTAAATATTATACCTACACAGACTTAATTATTTTGCTACATAGGTGCATATATAGGTATACCTACATAACAGAATGGAAACCAGTTAATAAATATAACAGCACATCAGTATCGTTATCGTATCGCTTGTAAACTAAAACTTAATAAATGTTTTTAAGAAGTAATAGGACCGACATCGTTTTCTAATGTGAAGCGGCCAGTTCACTTACCGATGACGTCGCACCAATAGCAACTCGTTCTACGACACGCCCCTACAGGATGCTCATCTCCAAATTTCAACGTACGATTTAGTCAATTCTATAATTAATAATTTTAAATAAGGTCATGTTTAAATATGTGAACTAATATAAAAAATCCGGCATGTGCAAGAGGCCTATTGTAGTCAGTACAACGTTATCATCCCCCTATTTTGAATCCCAATGAAATGTGATAAAAAAGATATACACTTACATAAAATCTCACCTACGGAAACGACCCTGTTTTAGACCACAGAAAAATACTAGTCTAAACTGGATTGTCATGTCATTTATTTCAACCGCTGTTTTCTTACTTCCACAGCGACAATTATATTTTCTTCTACGTGATTACACTTAAAAAAAAAATAGTTAATGTGTGTGATGAAACACTGGTGCTGAATCCGAGATCCAACTGCTACGTATTTTTTTTCAATAAAGGGAAGATACGTAGTTTTAACACTAATTCAGGTTGTGAATAATTTCGAAACGATTCTCTAGAATGTCGAGAACAAGCATGACTGTACCAATGTAAATAATTTTCCAAAAAAGGATCTCCTAATCTATCTGAATTGTATAAACTATATCTATATCTGTTGATTATTGAATAATTTAATCTAGATTAAGTTTAAAATTGTACATTACTGTAATGTTTATTTTATTATTAATAGGATGTGATTATATTTAAAATGTAGATTATGTACAGTGTGTAAAATTACGAGTGTTACCGACGCGGGGTCAGACGGGCCGATTGTAGGTCCTTCTGGACGGCGCGTCTACCAGATCATTGTAATCAAAACTATACTATTGTAAATATTAGCCGTTATCTTAACATTCTTATTCTATCTTCACTGCCTATATTAAACTGTTCGGGCCTGTGGTTCGGTGGACTCGACACGCAGGACGGAACTGGTACTATTATTGTTAATACTTGTTAATATTTTGTAATCATTTATCTTCAATTTTAATACAAAAATGTATAAATGACGAAGTTTTTTATTTGCACGGGATATTTCGCATAATAGTCCAGTCATTACAGACATGAAACAGCCTGTTTCGGGAAAAAAATACTATTAGAAGTTTCTCTGCGGAATATTGTTCGGAAACGTGTTATAAATAAAATATCAAAAAATCAACTCGAGGCTAGTTGGGAAACTTTGTTTAAACAATGGTCAAAGTTATGGAAAAGTGGTTTTTTGACTAACGTAAAAAACTATTATCCATAGCGAAAAAAGTTTATACAAAAAAGGTAGGTATTAAATAAATCTATAAAATGAGACAAGTCCGATTAAATTCCGATAATTTGTTAATGCGCAGGAGCTCAAAAATGGTCGAAAATGGCCGTTTTTTTCAATTGCCAATAACTAATGCAATTTTCATCGCACACACTTGTAATTCAGGATTTTTGAGGCTTTTTACACCCTTAATAAGTGGTAAAAATTCCAACCCGAAAGCTTCATTGGTTTGGCGTTGGCGGAATTTGTTATCTAAAAAGATGCTATTTTTAATTCATTGTTCCCAAGCTCAAAGGCGTTGTATAGTTTCGATCATTAGTTTTTGTACCTAAATAGTTGTACTGACATATGCACTTACTGATAATATAATTTTTCAAATTGAATTTGTTCAAAAATGACTGAAAAAATGTTAATATTTATTAAATTGTTACGATAAGCAATTATTTTAAAATGAAATAGTAACCTCTATAGTTTAGTTAGTACTATTTTTCTTCGAATTTAAAAAAAAATCGTTGTTCTAAGTTGATTAGAAGCTGTGACATTTTTTTTTTATTTAATCGCAGTGTCCTTAATTATTAAGAGCCGAAATTTAGAGAGAGTATACATTAAGAGCTATATTTTCATGTCCTACATTAACATTAAGGTGAATTCAACTATTTAATTTCGAAAAAGAAGATAACGGCGATGCGTTCTATTACTCGGTCTAGCGAACGCGTGGGGAGAGCGAGGCGGAGCATGCGCGCTACGCGCCTGGTTGCGCGCAGGAAAATGATCGAGCGGCTTCAAATCGATGGAGCTGGAAAAATTAGCCATATCTCGGTTAATACTGAACCTATCGAGATGATTCTTTTTTTAATTTGTGGTAGCGCGAAAATTCATGAGAATTGATGCTATGGTATTAATATTATTTCAACCCGAGATTTAATTTTTTATTTAGCCTCGCCTTTCCCACTCGTTCGCTAGACCGAGTAATAGAACGCATCGCCGCTATCTTCTTTTTCACAATTAAATAATTGAATTCACCTTAATGTTAATGTAGGACATG